TTTTTTTTTTTTTTTGGTTGATTTGTTGTTGTTGTTGTTGTTGTTGTTGTTGTTTCAAGACAGAGTTTCTCCGTAGCTTTGGAGCCTGTCCTGGAACTAGCTCTGTAGACCAGGCTGGTCTCGAACTCACAGAGATCTGCCTGTCTCTGCCTCCTGAGTGCTGGGATTAACAGCATGCACCACCACTGCCTGGCTTTTTTTTTTCAAGACAGGGTTTCTCTGTGTAACAGCCCTGGCTGTGCTGGAACTCACTCTGTAGATCAGGCTGACCTCGATCTCACCTCACAGAGATCCACCTGCCTCTGCCTCCTGAGTTCTGGGATTAAAGATGTGTGCCACCACTGCCCACACATTTGTCTTTATTTATAAACTATCTACTCATCCACTTAACTATTTATCTAGCCCTATCCACTTTGTCTGTGAGCCGACCTCCATATCAATATCCTGCCTATATCCTTATGCACCTGCCCACTTACCACTGACTCATCTGTTCCTCCAACCAATCACCTACCCATTCATTCTTCAGCCCATTAATTGATTAACTTATCTATTCATCCACCCATAAACATCTGCCCATCCTTCCATTTGCTTAGCTGTGCCCCTGTTCACGAGCTCTCCCACCCACTGGGGTCTTTGGGCTCACAGAGGGAAAAGTTCTCACTTGAATCCACTTGGCGCCCCAATATCAGCTTTACTGATCTTCTTTTTCCCTGAGCGTTTCTTATCAGCTGGGCCAGGGCCCGGCGCAGGGAGCCCACGGTATCGTGAACTTGTGATGTCAGGGTTCTGAATGTCGACTGTCACAAGTCCTAGAGATAGTGGACCTGATGGGCCTGTGGAAAAAATAATGGGAATGAACCACTGATCGATCAATTTACCTACAGCCAAAGCACAGGGCAAGAACTAGTGCCAGGCGGTGGTGTGCACACTTTTAATCCCAGCATTTAGGAAGGCGGAGGCAGGCGGATCTCTGTGAGTTCAAGGCCGGCCTGGTCTACAGAGTAAGTTTCAGAACAACCAGAGATAGACAGAGAAACCCTGTCTCAAAAATGGAAGTGGAGAAGGAGGAGGAGGAGGAAGAAAAGAAAGAAAAAGAACTAGAAAGACTATTGAGGAATTATTATATATGTTTGATGGTCATGGAGGAAATGGATGACAGGGGTCTAAGCAAGGCCCAGGGAGAGGTTGGATGGATCCCCAAAATCATTCAGTCACGATTCATGTATGCTTATCGTTCAAGCACTTGCTTGTTCATTCTCTGGCTGGTTGGATAAATGGCTTATTAAATTGTTCATTCATCTAATCACCTAATCTTTCCTTTTTTTGTTTTTTTGTTTTTGTTTTTTCAAGATAGGGTTTCTCTGTGGTTTTGGAGCCTGTCCTGGAACTAGCTCTTGTAGACCAGGCTGGTCTCGAACTCACAGAGATCTGCCTGCCTCTGCCTCCCAAGTGCTGGGATTAAAGGCGTGCGCCACCACCGCCCGGCCTCACCTAATCTTTCTTAGGCAGAATATTAAGTCATTTAATCTCTATGTTTGTGTGTGTATGGGTATTTGGTATGAGTGTGTATTGTATGCATGCATGGCACATGTGTGGAGGTCAGAGGTCAGCTTTATATAGAACCTGAAGACCTGAGGATAGAGCTCAGGTCTCCAGGCTCAGTGACAAGTGCTGAGCCATCTCACCAGCTCTCATTCATTTCACTTTTCACTATTCATTCATTTACATACCCATTCATTAATTCACTGAGCATTCATTAATTACTTGAATGCAAGTAAGTATTCACCCACTTACCCAAATACCCACTCCCCTTTTCATCTATAATCTATCATCAGTTCATCAATGTTCTCATCTCTCCACTCATCCACCCAGCCAGCCAGCCACCGCTTTACATATCTACTCATCCATGAACTAACTTCCTACCATCTCTCCAGAGACATGAGCATCACCACTCACCCCCATGGTCTCCACCTGGATGCGGGGGCAGAGGTGGGAGCCCTCCTCTTCTCTCTGGGGAATATAGAATGAGTTAAGATCTCATAGTCTTGCCACAGGTTTCTGGGGTAGTTCCTTATAACCTCTACTTGAACTAGAGGACTCACCTTCATTGGTCGGTGCTGGTGGTGGTGGTAGCTGGCGTCTTTCTGTGGTTAAATGGGAGGACCGAGAGCCAGATCCATGAGAGGGGCTTTTCGAGCCTCCCAGCCAAGTACTCACTTCTGCCTAAGCTATCTTCTCAACCCCCAGCAAGGCCTTCTTACCTCCACTTTGCCTCTGATTCCTTTTTTGTATCTTCTCCTGCACCAAGGTCCGGAAGGCCTGGGCTTCACTCTCATCCGCAAAATTCAGTCCTACTTGGCAGTCCTATATATGCCTTGGGGTCAGCAACCTTGTAGCACTCCCCACCCCCCAGACTTTCTCATCACCTCCCCGCACCCCAGCTGCAACCCAGGACTAGGCTGGTCACTCACATCTCCAGCAAAGGTGTGGAAGAAGGGCGTGGGAGTGAAGTAGACCAGCTGGGAGTACAGCTCCTGTTCCCAGAGCAGCCGACCAGCCTGTAGAGAGGCAGGGTAGGGGGCATGCTGGCATCCAGGCACCCTGGGTGGCAGACCTTTGTTTGCTGATGAGGAAGTCTAGTGTCCAGATTTGGTGTCCTAGAGTCTTAGTCAGAGATCTCCAGCTCAGTAGCAGAGTCTGGGGTCTAGGTGTCTGCTATGGAGGATTGGGTTAGAGTCTTAGATGCGGACATTGACCTGAGAGATTAAGGTCTGGAATCTGAAGCCTATTTGTAGGAGTTGAGGGATCAACTTTAAGAGTCTAGGCCTAAGCATATTCAACATGTTGGATTTAGAAGAGATTGAGGCTGAGGCTCAGATAGAATGTGGTGCTCTGGGGAATTTGTGGAGCAGATCAGGATCTTAATATGGACCTTCTGAGCTCAGTCACCTCACCTGGAATGAGAAAACACTACTCGGGACTGTATTGGTGGTCTTTGGTTCTGGAGCTCTGATATGAACAAGGGCTTGGGGCTATGGCCAAAAACTGGTTTTGCAGGTTGGAAACTAGCTTTCCTATCTAGTGGGGCCTGGAGTCACCTGAAGACCATAAAGGCGGATGAAGTAGGACTTCTGAGGGTTGTCTTTCACGAAGCACACAGCCCCACAGTGTTCCATGGTCCATTGCTCAGCTCCAGGGGGCAGTGCCAGGTACAGCTGAACAACTGCAGTGGCCAGTGTCTAGGATGGGAGAGCAGTGGTCAGCGGAGTCTGTTCATGGGTAACCAGGCCTGGTCCCTGCTTGCCCAAGGCTGTCATGAGCTTGTGGGGAAAAGTTATAGCCAGGAGGGAGGTGAGTAGATATCACGATAGTCCTGGGATCCACAAACTATGGTAAGTGAATTCTGGGGGAGGAGATGGGGTAAAGGGAAAAGAGGGATGATGGGAAGAAGAAGGAGCAGGGAAGTATGGGTAAGAGGAGGAGGCAGAAGGGGGAAGAAGAGGTAGAGAGGAAGAGGAGGAAAGGGAGGGAGACTGGGAGGACCAGGAGATCCTCAACTCACCCAGCATTTTCGGCCAAGCAGCTCAAAGAGTCGCTGGTTCTCATGGTCCTGGAGGAGGTTGGAAGGAATGTTTTGCTGAACTGCTGGCCCCCCTCGACCCCCAGGCCTGCCTCCTACAGGGCCACCACTCATGGTGCCTTCTGCCCCAGTCCTCTTCTGCTAAGCTCTGGGTGCAGGGTAAGAAGAGGAACTTCCGCAGTGAGCAAGGGAACAGGAAGTGCAATAAACCACAAGGGAAACAAGTCCTCCAGGGGCCCCCAGAGGGCCTGTCCTCCTCCCTAGGACTGGTTTGGGTCATCCTCCATTTGCCTGACTAGAACCATGTTTGTAATTAGCTCAGGGCTTCTTTCTTCTTCTTTCCTTTTCTCTCTCTCTCTCTCTCTCTCTCTCTCTCTCTCTCTCTCTCTCTTTCTCTCTCTCTCTCCCTCTCCCCCCCCCATCTTCTTCTGACAGGTTCAGATCTGCCTTGCTCTAGGTGGTACTGAGAGCTAAGCCATCTGGAGCACTCCTACAGGGCTGGCTACACAGAGCGAGCATAGTCACAAGGCCTCCTTCCTCCCCAAATCACCAGGTTGACCTGGGGTTGAGTCCAAGGCTCCAGGTGTGAAAGGGTCATTGCATTACAGCTTTCCCTTTCCATGGCATGGTGACCCCATCTCAAGCACTGAACATTGCCAACAACATATAAGCCTATGACTCATTTCCTCATCCTTTACTCTTGCCTCCTGTAGCTCCCTAATTACTTGCTTCTTTTCAACCTCATTCTGGAAGGAAGAACTTCACAGTATAAATAAATTCTAAAACATCTTGATTGATTTTTACTATGTTGGGACTTTTCGAAATTACATAACCTTTGAAGGCTTGATTTTCTCTACTTCTGGTGATAATGGATTGGCTAGAGGTAAGCACATCCTGTACCACTGAGCTGTACCCTCATGCCCTCTAATTCTATTGCCTCTTGGATGGGGCAGACCAGTTAGGGGGTCCTCAGGTGTAGGGCACCAGTTTGGGATGCCGAGCAGGTTATAGGTATGGGTAAAGTCTCTGAATTGGAGATCCTCAGGCCTGCCTGGAAATCCCTTGCCTCTCCATGCCTGCAGGCTCCTTGAACTCCAGGCTCCAAATGCCTTTTGAGATGGCTCATCCAACTTCCTCTAACCTGTAGGTTCTCTTCTTCATAGAGTTTCTGGTGCCCACAGCACACAGAGCTATTGACACTTCCAGGCCTGAAGACCCTTACAACTGGTTTTATCTCCTTTCATTTGGGGGGGGGGAGGGAGCAGGTGTGATAGTCTCTCTTAGTCTAGGATGACCTTGAACTTACTATGTAACCGAGGATGATATTAAACTTCAGACTCTCCCGTCTTCGCCTCCCATATGCTGGGATTATAAATGCCACCATACCTGGATTTTCCAACATAATGAGAAGGGAAAGTTCGTATTTGGGTTTTAAAAAAGCCATTGTAGTATGTTGGGTATGGTGATGCACTGCTGTTAACCCCAGAACTTGGGAGACAGAGGCAGGAAGATCACTTTGAGTTTGAGGACAACTTGGTCTACGTAGTAAATTCCAGAATAGGCAGAGCTACACACTGAGACCCTTTCTTAAACAAACAACAACAAAAAATGACATTGCAAGCTGTGAGTGTCCCAGTGTATTAGAGTCTCTGGTTTCCATTCCCAGGATTGTGTACATTCCCAGTAGTGTGTGTGTGTGTGTACATTTCAATGTATACATTTCAATTAATTGAACTCCATACAAGAAATGCTTTACAGACTAGTTTCTGAGTTTCCACGTAGCTGAGGCCGGCCTTGAACTTCTGATCCTAAAGCCCCTTCTTCCCAAGAGCTGAGATTAAATTAAGCATGTGCCACTATGTCTTATGCAGTTGGCTTCTGTGACAAGCAAGCATTCTTTTTTTAATTTTTTTAATGACTTTATGTTCATTGGTGTGAAGGTGTCAGAGCTCATGGAACTGCATTTTCAGACAGTCGTGAGCTGCCATGTGGGTGCTGGGAATTGAACCCGAGTCCTCTGAAGAGCAGTCAGTTCTCTTAACCGCTGAGCCATCTCTCCAGCCCACAAGCAAGCATTCTACTTACCAGAGCTCTCTTGTCTTTTTCTTCCTTCCTTTCCTCCTTTCTTTCTTCTTTCTTTTTGTTTTTTTTGAGACAGGGTAGCTTTGGAGCCTGTCCTGGAACTCGCTCTGTAGACCAGGCTAGCCTTGAATTCACAGAGATCCACCAGCCTCTGCCTCCAGAGTGCCAGGATCAAAGGTGTGTGCCACCACCACCTGGTTTCTTTCTTTCTTTCTTTAACCTCCCAGACACAGTTCCCCTCCCTCCTCTCCTGCCAGCCTTCCCCCGACCCTCAATCTACTCCTCCATTTCTGTTTAGGAAAGGGCAGGTCTCCCATGAATAGCAACAAAACAATCTTAATAGTACACATTGAATTTCTCTAGTAAGCATATTTCTAGAAACTGGCACAAACTAGAAACTCAAGAAGTAGTATGTTTGCTGGGCATTGTGGCACACACATACAATCCAAAAATTTGGAAAAGAGAGGTAGGATGGGGGGGGGGTTCAAGGTCAACCACAGCTACTTAGTGAATTAAAGGATGACCTGGGCTACTTGAAACCCTGTCTCAAAAGGAAAATATGTTGAAGGAATATACGGGAGGATTAATAATGTTTAATTTGATGACGTGTGTTAGGTCCGAGAGAAACTTGTCCCAGGTTTTGTTTTGCTTTGCTTTTCTGGAACCTTTGAAAAATACAGTGTGTGGTTAACTCACTCAATATTGACAGGCAACCCCTTGGGAAAGGCACAATTGATCGGGAGACTGCAGCACAAACAGCTTACAAAGTTGGGTGGCGTGGGCTATGAGAATATGTTCTCTGTGAGAAATGGTTCCTAAATCTGAGGAACCACTCACAGGCCAAGATACAATTCTCCTTTGGCTGCTCTTCCAGCTTCCAGCTGGCAGCTCACAAGCTTCTGGAACTCCAACTCTAGAGGATCCAATCATGGAGGATCTGTCCTCCACGGACACTAGGCACACACATAATGCATAGACATAGATGCAGGCAAAACATGCACTTCTGCTCCTCCTCTGTTTTCTGTTATGCCAGAGGTAATAGGAAGCCCCAAGAGCTGCCCCCTTTACACTAGCATGTTAAATCTCTATACTTCTGCCACTTGGTATTTTTTCTTTTTTTGATTCTTCGAGACAGGGTTTCTCCGTAGTTTTTGGTTCCTGTCCTGGAACTAGCTCTTGTAGACCAGGCTGGTCTCAAACTCACAGAGATCCGCCTGCCTCTGCCTCCCGAGTGCTGGGATTAAAGGCGTGTGCCACCACCGTCCGGCTACTTGGTATTTTTTAAACTGGCATTTGATAGTTGTGTTTCTGTCTGTGTGTGTTGGCACAAACCTTTAATTGGGAGGCAGAGGCAAGAAGATCACTGTGATTTCAAGGCCAGACCAACTTATGGCTATACAGTGAAGCCCTGTCTCAAAAAACAGAAAACTAACCATGGTTGTGTTTTTGTTTTATGTGTAAGTAGCAAATAGAATTAAAATTTATACTTTTTCTCTACAAAAACAAAAAACAAACCAAAATCATTTCTTATTTTCAGGCCCCAACAGAATGCACTCTCTGGAATATAATGATTCATTAATTCTTTTAATATCATTTATCATACTGTACACATTATTGAGTTCTTCCACTGACTTGCACCAATACTTAAAAACTACTTTCTTTTAATATCTGGTCCCTGTTGACTACTATTCTTCTGTATTGGCTGTCAAAACTGCAGGAGATGGTGCCCTCAAGGGTGGAAAAAACAGAAACCTTAGTCCAACTTTTCTGGTTGTTCTGGACTGGGCGGCTGGACTAACGCAAGTCCATCACACCTGGCACTCCTTAGCAATATAGTGAATATGAGGAACTCCCAAGAACTGGATATACCACCTGGTGCTCCAGCATTACCTCTGGCTCCCAGCCCCAGGGCCTCCAGGTGGAGAACTGCTTCCTGTTTTATTTGCTGGGATTTTCTGTTTGGTTTGGGTTTGTTTTTTTTTTTAAGATTTATTTATTATGTATTCAACATTCTGCCTCCATGTATGCACGCATGCCAGAAGAGGGTACCAGATCTCATTACAGATGGTTGTGAGCCACCATGTAGTCACTGGGAATTGAACTCAGGGCCTCTGGAAGAGCAGCCAGTGCTCTTAACCTCTGAGCCATATATCCAGCCCTGGGTTTTGGTTTTTCAAAACAGGGTTTCTTTGTGTAGCCCTGGCTGTCCTGGAACTCAAAGAGATCTGCCTGCCTCTGCCACCTGAGTGCTGGGATTCAAGGTTTGATTTTGCTGTTGTTTTGGTTTTGGTTTTTGAAATAGAATCTTCCTACTCTATAGCTCAGACTGCCCTCAAACTCCCAATGATCCTTCTCCCTCAGCCTCCTAGTTGCTGGGATGACAGGTGGGTGCACCATTCCCAGCTTTTCTGTTTCCTTTTCCTTTTTTTGGGGGGGGGGGGGGGTTCGAGACAGGGTTTCTCTGTGGCTTTGGATCCTGTTCACGAACTAGCTCTTTTTTTTTTTTTTTGGTTTTCGAGACAGGGTTTCTCTGTGGTTTTGGAGCCTGTCCTGGAACTAGCTCTTGTAGACCAGGCTGGCCTCGAACTCACAGAGATCTGCCTGCCTCTGCTTCTCAAGTGCTGGGATTAAAGGTGTATGCCACCACCGCCTGGCTTTTTTCCTGTTTCTAGTAATAGGTTGTACTTAGTTTCTTTTACAATTGGCCTTCCAAATCTGTGAATTTAACCAATCAAGGGTCTAAAATATGTGAAAAATAGCCGGGCGGTGGTGGCACACGCCTTTAATTCCAGCACTCGGGAGGCAGACCAGCCTGGTCTACAAGAGCTAGTGCCAGGACAGGCTCCAAAGCTACAGAGAAACCGTGTCTCGAAAAACTAAAAAAAAAAAAAAAAAGTGAAAAATAAAGTAAATGAAAGCAAAACCAAAAAAAAAAAAAAAAGCCTGTTTCCATGTTAATTATGGTGTAAATAAGAATTCCTAAAAGAAACCGTGTCTCCAGAGACTGCTTGACTGGATGAAGCTGCAGCACTTGGGAGGCAAAGGTGGGTGGATCTCTGTGAGTTCGAGGCCAGCCTGGTCTA